CTGAAATGTGGCATTTTTGTCACTTACATTCCACTGAGCTAAGTGAGTGAAGAATGAGTACTGTTATGTGATCTGGATGTCGGTGAGGTTTTACGGTGAGGTCACATGTGGTGAGAGGAGTAAGCAGTATCATCAAGGAATATGGTCATATACGTGTGTGTTCTGTTTTAACGTAGGTTTGTCTTAAATGAGCTGGTACAGACTGAAAAAGACTACGTCAAAGACTTGGGAACTGTTGTGGAGGTGAGCTGAAGCAACCCCTGCTATGCAAAATGTTTTCCCACTAAAAAGCACCATTCTGACAAGTGACAACAACAAAAAATACGGCGTGAGAAGCAAACTGCCTTATTTTGCACTCTGCTTCCATGGCTCCTTCTCATGTTGACAGAAACAAGAAGAAATGCCTTTGGAAACTGTTTTTGTTTCCATCTAGCAAATGTTATATTTTAGGTTCAACTCCAGCGTGCAAAGGTTTTTCTTGGCTACACTGCTTGTGACAAACTCTGCTGTACTGCAGCCTTGAGGGCAGTGGTGGAGAATAACTTATGCTCCTACCACTTATTTCATGCTTTTCTTCCTGTCATATTGAGTAATGGTAGCACATAGTTTACTTGAGTTTGCACCTGGACTAATGTCCTGTGTCTGAGTACCTTTCCAGAAGCTGGGTCTGTGCCGAGGTGCATGTGTGGCCTGTGGATTATTATTTTGTAAAAAAAATCCTAGATAAAATAGAGTTTTGGGTTTGTTTTTTTTCTGTTAAAAAACAAGTCTTTTTTTTTCTAAGCTTCAACTTGTAAAGACCTGGCTGATCCCTAGGGATCACCTGACACATCCAACTCAACATGCAGGATCTAGGTTTTTTTCCAGCAAGGACTAGGAACTGAAGGCTTGTGATTCACTAGTGGAATTCACTAGTCTAAGGAGAATTATCAGCCCATCTAACAGAGATTTTCAACAGCTTCTAAGCTTGAAGACCTTTGTATTATCTTCTGTTTACATCATGCACCATTGGCAAACCTGACAGGCTGCAGCGCTTCAGAGGCTTACAAAGAAACTCTTAGGGGGTGTGAGAAATCCTGTTCATGTGACTCTTTAAACTTACTGCTTGGCTTTGTGCTCCCACAAAATACTCATGGTGATGAATGGAAGAACTCTGTACAGAGCTACAGAGTCTGGTTTCTTCCTTTTGCCAGAGAAGCCAAGAGCTTGATAAAGTACTTTGTTTAACTTTTATCTTATAATTGCTCTTGTCACTTCAATTGCATCTAATAATGGTTTGTAGATATTCTAAACAAATCCTTTAGAGTTTTCTTTTAAGCAAACTGTGTAATTTAAACTATCTAGTTGGGTTTCTGGTTTTAAATTGTGCAAAAGATATTTTAAGCATTTTCAGTGTAAAAAATCCTGACATTAAATTATTGCTCCTTTGAAAAAAAAAAGTTTAATTATGCTTCCCCTTCAAATGAACCCTTTGCCGATCACTCATCTTTTGTCCTGAAGGGTTTCATGAAGAGGATAGAAGAAAAAGGAGTTTCTGAAGATATGAAAGGGAAAGACAAGATTGTGTTTGGCAATATTCACCAGATCTATGACTGGCACAAAGAGTAAGTTTTTGGTTTACTTTCTTTTTAAACACCTTTCTAACCAGTTGTCCATGAAGGATTGGGCTATGTGGTGTCTGTATGTCTAAGCTGCTTTTAATTGAACATCAGCAGGTCATTCAGGGCTGAACTTCCAAAGGACGTTGCCTCTCTTTAAATGGTCTCTGTTGGTTTGTAAGTGCTGCTTAATAACTTCACAAATCATGGCTACCTTGAATCCTGAGAACATGTTCTGATTCATGTGCTTTTAGCCACAGTTTCACGACACACTAAATCCTGATATAGGGCTTTGTTTACCCAGCCAAAAACACCACAACTGCATGATGCAAAGCATCAGTCTTACATGAAATCATTTTTACCAGTGAAAAAAACTTTGGTGGGCTATAGCTTTGCACTGCCTGGCTTCATGGGAGGATGTTTGTCATGCTGTCTCTGATCACAGATACAGCTTATGCTGGCTCAGACACCATGCCAGGAGTGCTGGTCAGTGTGACAGAAATGTTGCACACAAGAGTGTGCTCTGTGCTGCCAACAGCTCTGACATTCCTTGCTGGGGAGCTGCAATGAGAGGCTTCACTGGGAGATAGGACTCTGGTCCATCCACAGCTCCTAAGCTACTGCTCACAAGCATTCCCAACATGACTCTCAGAGAGTTGCTACTTGTGGGGTATTTGCTGAATCCTCAGAAAAGCTACTGAGGCTGCCATAATTATGTGTCTTGGGTCACAGCTGTAGGCTCATATTCATCTTACAGATGTGCAGTAGCAATGTTGGAAAGTCGTGGTTTCCTTTTCGTGTCTTGTGGTTCTCAGTAACAGGAATGTCTTCACATGCAGCTGATCAGGTCATGAAGTTTGACCATACCAGTAGTATTTGGCTAGGAGGGTGATAAAATGCAAATTGCTTCAAGATCCTTCTCACATGAAAGCCCTGACATGCTTTGGTGTAGCTGATGCTTTTGGCTCTGAGTTAGGAAGTCCATTCCTTGAAAATCCTACTCATACAAGTAGCTTTTGAAAAGCTGCTGGAAACACAATCCCTGGCCCATTTCCCCTGTAACTTTATTAACTATGTCTTGCTTAGGGACAATATGGTCCTCATTTCAACTCTGCCACTCATAAATACTCTGCAGCTCAAACTAACTAGAATTTGAGCATGTATATGCAGACTTGAGCAATGGACACCGGGCTGGATCTTCCTTCAGCTCTGGACATTTCCCTCACCCAGGTAGCACAGAGTCCTTCCCATCATGTGCCCACAGGTGCTTATCTCATGGCCTAGGCCTGTCCTTGTGTTCTGACAGATGACCTTGTGAGCACAAACTAAAAAATGTCAGAAGAATCTTCCCTGCATATTAAGCTGATACCAGCAATGGAGTGTTTTTACCAGTGTCATTAATTTTCAGAGTGTGATCATAGGAGTTTTCTCTAACACATAGGGAAGGATTCCCTATTTTTAGGTCTGCATATCTGGGTCAAGAAGTCTATTTAAATGCAGATGAATTTAACATTTATAGGGGATTGAGTTATGGAAGCAGCTGTATCTAATAGTAGCAGTGGGGGTTTTTAGTTGGGTCAGCTGCCCAATTTGCATCTTTTTTTGGTGTTCTGGTATTTCTTGGGACCAGACCATTGCAGCCAGGTCCTCTCACCAAATCTGGCTACTGTAGCAAATTCATGAACGCATTTGAGACAGAAATCCTGAAATTAAAAAGAGGAAGATCATGGATAAGGAGATTGTCAGGATTTCCCTACCAGATAGAAAAACCTAATGGTATTTCTAAAATTTACTTTGGCTGCTTTTACCTCACTTTTAGGCACCCCAATATATTCTGGGTAAGGTAATTTGGGCTAGAAGGAATGACCTCCCCAGAGCTGCAGGTCAAGATAGAGACAGTGTTTAAGAATTACTATGACCATTATGAATTATGTATTATGATTAATTATGAAATTAAAAACTGTGACAAACACCATATCATAACTCACCAGCAAAACATGTTGATTTGATTATTCAAGTGGAAGTTTCTGCATCTCTTTCACACTGACCAGTACTCCAAATCTGCTCATGCAACTGAGAATTCCCAGTAAAGCTTCTGCTGAGTTTTCATAAGCATTTTGGTGTATGGAAAAGTTTTACTTTGGGGGCTCTCAGTGAAGAAAAGCAATTCTTGCAATTAGATAGTAATGAGCACTTTTTGAAAATTGAAACCACTGTAATAGTAAAGAGGAGCAGACAACTTGCAAGACAAGACCTCCACATTTCACAGCTCTCATCTAATGCTTTAGAAATCCCACCATTAAGGGCTGAAGCCAAGCTTACCTTTTCATTTATTATTGAATACTGTAGCTAAAATTGCACTGATATATCTGAAGGATGACTAGTTTGCTGCTGAGATGACATAAGGAGGTATTCTGAAATGTTGATATCCTTTCTTTCAGCTTTTTCCTGGCTGAACTGGAAAAATGTCTTCAAGAACCTGACCGTTTAGCACAGCTTTTTATTAAGCATGTAAGTTCTATTTTGTCACCTGTGTCTAGTATGTTTATCATTTAGGGTGTGATGACTCCCTTCCAAAAATATCTGTTTGTGTTGACTTGATATTTTACATGTCTAAACTTAATTTAAACAAAAAGTATCCCTATAGTTATGCATTTTCAGTGAGCAGCTGGATTGCATTATCAGTGCCTTTCTGCAGACAACTTTTTTGAGGGCAAAATTGACGTGGCCAAGGACATCTGCCAAAATATGATTATGGCAGGTACTTGCCAACTACTACAATTTACATGTTCATGTGATATTAGCTAGAGTACAACTCTATAGCAAATTTCAGACCTGCCAGTGTGGGTATGACCTCCATGGAAACCTCTCCTAGCCTAAGGTGCAGAAGTGGAGAACAGAACCAGTTACCAATTTGCTTTCCTACTTCAGCAAACTAAATCCTTGATATAAACCAAGAATAAGGAAGACCAAGTAGAACATCATGGCAACTTTCTGCCACCTTGTAATAACAGAATGGTAGCCAATGTCTCACCAGGCTCTGTGCCTCTTGCCTTCGTAGGAGCGGCGATTGCACATGTATGTGGTGTATTGCCAAAACAAGCCACGATCTGAGTATATAGTAGCTGAGTATGAAGCATACTTTGAGGTAAGCATGGCTCATTGTACATTACTGCTGCTTACAGCTGTGAGTCCTGTGCAAAGACACTATTCTGTAACCTGTGGGGTTTGTCTGAAACAAACTCTGGAAGACTTTTGATGCTGCACGTGCTGCTGAAGTCTCTGCTACGGGGAGAAAATGTTATTGTTTAATTGATTTCAAATTCTCGTGTTGTTCATTTCTAATAAATATTTAATTCCATACTAACTGTGTGTGGTCCTTAGAGTACCACAACTGCACTAATTCCTGTCCCAAATAAAATAAGACTTTTTAATCAGTGGTCTACAAACAGGGGAGGAGGTAAAAGCTGTTGGAGCTGGGTGTTGCCTCTCATAAATTCCCACTAACTTTGTCTGTTTCTAGAAATCTTTGGGGCTAGACACATTTAGATAGTAATGTGAAAGAAGCTTGTTTAACAAGGGAAAGATGTTTTGTTTCACCCCAAGGCATGAGGCATGCTCTGCAGGATTTATTTGTGAGCTAATCCCTGCTGCAGTGGAAAG